TTTAGCAACTCTTCTGTGGACTAATAAACAGCAAACTGGAGAGAGGAAAGAATTATAGCCTCTCTTGATAAATCCCCTCAGAGTCATTTCCTAACATGTCAATGTGATTGTGTGTGTTTCTGGAAGTGGGCCCTGCAGACCCGGACCAGCCGTCCTCCAGCTCTCACTCCAGCGTCAGTCCCTGGAAGATTCCCTGCAGCACCAAGCTGAACGACAGCAGCCTCGCAGGCACCTTTGTCCGCTGGGAAGAGAATGCTCTGCCCTCGTAGGCCACGCCGTCACAGACATCACTCTGCTCTGGATCAGTTCCATTATTAACTCTGCTCTGTCTGCAGCTCGTTAGTCCTGGATGATGTTGAGAGGCAGAGCACCTGTGAGCTGGAGGTGGATGCTGTGGCTGTGGACATCCTGAACCGTCTTGAAATTGAAAGTAGGTGCTGTGTGCTGTGTTCTCTGCAACACCAGCTGACATGACAAAAAGCAAAAGGTGAAAGGCAGCTGCAGCACACTCAGCTCACAACACTGATTATGGCTCCACACAGAGAGTCTTTTAGCAGACCTGAACATGAGCATGGTGGAACAGACCTCAGTCTTTAGTCACAGGGGAGCAGAGGCGAAGAAATGATCAGAGATGACGGAGTTTGGGTCAGCAGATGAACCGAGCAAAGTAAAGAACAGCTGTTATGTGCTTTCAGAACAGATGCAACTGTTTGTCCTGATTCTCTCTAAACGGCCTGCATCTTCATCTGCCAGGAAATGGAAAGGAAACTGTCCTTCTGGTCACCTGCTCTCATCGAGATGCCAAACATTTCCATTTTTACAGAAATAAGATATATTTTTGACAGATTTTTCTGGGTGTTTGTTTGCTACAAAATCCAAAACAGAAAAATTGGAACTGTTTGATTGCATCATTATCCCAACATACTGCAAAATCTTTTTTTCTTTATCTGATTTTAAAATCCTTTGTTTGATTGGTCCTATATAAAATACAATTTTAAAAAATTTGAATATTCAGAAAATTAGAAATTGTTGCATTTTAAGACTGGATTTTATGATATTACTGTTAGCTATAATCATCAAGATTCACAGATATAAACAGCTGAAATATATTATTTTTTGTTTGATTAATACATATAGCAGACACTTTTTGAATTGAATTACTGAACGTTTTGATGATGGATCTGGAATCTTACAGAAGAATCCCAGGCAGCGCAGGATTTTTCAGGTGTACTGGACTTTTAAACGGGACTATGCTCCACTGTCTGTGCTTTGTGTGTGAAGTACCTGTAGGGCAGCTGTAGGGGAGGGAACATGTTTAACATGAGATGCATAAGGATTTTGTTTTCTAACCTTGCCTCCTCCTCCAGATCAGATCGGCAGGAACCCCGGACTGCAGGCTATTTGGGAGGATGAGAAGCAGAGGAGGAGGGAGAACAACCAGACCTCCCAGATAGAAGCGCCGGATTCACAAGGTGAGGAATGCTGCAGTGGGAGCGAAAACATGGTTTTCTAGTGTTATTCTGCATTTTGTACCATTTGCTTATTGTCTATTGCTTAGGATTCCCAGTTGGGTTTTCACCTACTTATGAAAATACTTAATTTCAATTTTTTGGCTTAATGTGGTCAGGACATGTTATTGAAAATTATCTGTATTCTACCACTATGCCTCAGTCAGTTAAATTAAAGCTTCAGATTAACAACAGCAACCTATTCTACCACATTGCTTATTTTCTTTCAAATACAAAAACTTATTGAACATCCAAGCAAGATGACCTTTACGTCTGTGCAATGCTCATAGTACCTGTAAACAATGACGGGCCCATCTCACTGTGCCTGCCTGCAGGCAGCATGTTAAAGTTCCTGGAAGAACAATAAGAAAAAGCCTGAACTACCTGTGGACTGATCAGAAGAAAACATTTCCCAGCATCTTATTTGAAGTTTCCAAATAGGAACTGAACAAACTGTAATATTCCTGTTTTAGTCACAGAAAACCAAAGTGAGCATGTTTGGTCAGAATCAAAAGCTCAAAGCAGTAAATCAACATAAACACCTATGGCTGCTATCAAACATGGTGGTGGTATGACCTTGTTGAGTCCACCATGAACTCCTCTGCTCACAAACTATTTCTAGAATCCAAAGTGAGACTCTAGAAGATGAAGCTGGACCAAAACTGACTTATCATAAACGTAGCAGCAAATCTGCAACAGGATTGCTAAAATAAAATAAAAATAAATCAAGCTTATGCCTTGGCCTAGTCAAACACAAGATCTCCACCTGACTGACAGTTTTTAATGATGTAGTTCATTTTTGTTGACATTTTTTTTTAAATAAGAAGAAAGTTAGGGCTCCATAGTCGATTGAATTCTGATTCAAGTTTAGGTTTCGGCCTCAAATAACCAGAAAGTATAATCAAAAGAAAAAACTTAATTCAAATGTTTGTGGTACATTCAGTAGAAGAGGAAGAGAACGGTGGCTGTGTAGTTTGTGCCAACCTTATCTAGTCCTTTAGAAATAAACGACTACATGTGGTTTAGATAAATTGCAGCTGGAATATTCTTATAATAAACGATCCTCCCCATCAACCTGAAAGGCTTCTGTGGAGATCTGGGCATTTTCTGTGAGCAGACCAAGTGATGGGTGTCGGCTGCCTTGTCTTGTAACCATAAATAAAAAACTCGGTAGACTCAGTAACCTCTCTGCCCCCCGACATGCCCACAAAGGAAGCTCCCATGGAAACCAGGTGATAAATAAACCACAGGCTGCTCTGTTTCTGTGATGAAATCTTTAGTTTTCAGACAAACATCCAAGCTTTTAGGTTTCAGTTCTGATCAGTGATACAGAGAAGAAATACAACTGACCAGGTTTTACCACGGACTGTAGTGTGAAAAGAAACTGTTTAGCTTAGAAAGATCTGCTGTATAGAACTACTGCCAAAGTTCATAATTATTTGTTTCTATTTTTATTTTTATTTTTATTTTTGTTTAATTGTTTCATAGTCAAAAGGATTGAATTCCAGCAGAGAAGTTTGTTCTTTGAAAAACGTCTGTCTCTGTTGCAGATCGGGGCTCGGTCACTTCAACAGAGAGTGAAAAAACCTTCATGAACAGACTGAAGGAGATTCTGAGGGAGAACAAGTTTGATGTGTAAGTTCCTTCACACATTATTTTACTCTGTTATCTAAATAAATAGCTTGGTCTTTGTTTCCTTTTCCCTGAGGAGATCTGCAGCAGATGGAATCGACTTTGATTTAATTATTACAAGCACAAGATCTCAATGAAAAATTCCCTCGAAACATCAAACAATTCCTTTTTGTCCTTAAGTTGTTTTTTTGTTGTTGTTTTTTTAACTATAATGAAGCTGTTACATGTCCTTCCTCTTTTTCTTTCCTTCGGCCCTGCCAACTTTCTTCTGAGTGCAGAGCAGGGTTGGAGATGGGAAAGTGAAGTCAGAGCAGATGTTGGAGAAAATGGGGATGAAATGAAGTGGCTGAGGTCACCTCCAAGCCCCTCCTTCCTCTACAATGTACAGCCTCCAAGTATTTCCTGTTATAAATTCTAGTACAGTTGGCCCTACATCCGCACACGCTGCTTTATCAGATCCAGATGGCTTCCATTCACTAACCTCTCATATCTAATATGAGCAGAGGGGAGAGAGAGGGAGCACAGGGGTGGGCCTCCCATCTGAATAGGGTTTTAAGTAAGGAAGTGGAAGCGGGACACGCTCTCTTAGTTAGTCACTCGTGCTGATAATGTTCACACAGTCTGTTACATTTCCTCTCTCTGTTATCTTGTGGTTTCCTCCTGGGACTGGTATTATTTACCTAGAAATTTTATTTTATTAGTTTTTTTTTTTTACTTTGTGGAGCATAGAGTAGTGCAGTGTGGCCCCTCCCCTACCTGTTGCTCTATACTGTTGGTCAGCTGGATGATTTAATGTTCCTCTATTGTCTCATTCTTGCAAGAAAGGCAAACGTAGCCCATTGTAAATATTCCCCTGTCACTGAAAACACAAACATTCCTGGTGGGGAAGCTAAAGAAGCTCTCCTCAGTCTTAATTAGGCATCAGGTCTTTCAAAACCAGCCTGGTAAGCAGCAGAGTGCAGGCTTGGTACCAGAGCTAATAGACACCCTAATTAACCTGCCAATACAACTTTGTTATACTAAGCTGCTACTTCGAAACTAATTGGGGTTTTACAAACATAATTGATTGAGTCTGTCAATCAAAAACTAAAAGTAACAGAGGACATTGCAACTATAATTATGAATGAATAATGTATTTGAAGCAGTAGAATTTGTTTTTTCCATTTTAAATAAAAGCAATGAATTGATGTTGTACGTTTTGCTGATATATTCTGATATTTTTTAGGGGTGCACTGATTGCAGTTTTCTGGACAATCTTTAAAACACTTGACTTGCCAATTCCAATTTTGTTTCATAGCAATGGTGGATTTTCACACCATTGCAGATGTAGATAAAATGGATTTCATAAGTAATTAATATCCAAAATTAAGGAAATCTGAGCTGATTACACTAGAATAATCATTTATTTATTTATCCCACATTGGGGAAATTCCTTTGTTACAGCAGCACACTAACAAAATATAAAAAAAATTAATATAAAAATATCTAAAAACAATATGAACAACATCAATTTATTGGTGCAGTTGTAGTATTTTTACTCCATCATGCAGTAAGAAATCCTTTTTCACAAAGGAAAAAGTGAGTGAATGATGATTCCCTTTAGACAGACACTGAACCCAGTGTAGTTTCTTTCCTTGTCTTGTTTGACATTTTCTGAATTAAATTTGAACATTTTCTAAAATTCCTACATGTCGTATGAGTTCCCTCTCTCCCAACCTGTGCTGGAGGGGAGAGGGATGTGTCGTTGTGGTAAAATGTGTTAATCACTGCAGTAATCTCCAGACGCCTGCCAGGGTCCCTCCCCCGTTGCCTCTAAAGTCATTAAGTACCAGACTAATTAAGAGACAGACTCTGGCACATGCACGCCGACTCTCTGGAGCCTTCTCCTCATAACAAAGTCTCTGAATAACAATCAGACTGCGGTACAGTCTTTCAGCCAGCCTAAATCTCTCACACTAGTGTGGAGGCGTCATTGACATACTTGCATAAGATATATATATATATATATATATATATATATATATATATATATGGTAATGGCGAACCAACCGGACATTGTGGTGGTGGATAAAGAACAGAGGAAAGCCGTTGTGGTGGATGTAGCAATACCAAGTGACCACAACATCAGGAAAAAGGAGCATGAGAAACTGGAGAAATACCAGGGCCTCAGAGAGGAACTGGAGAAGGTCTGGAAGGTGAAGACCACAGTGGTGCCTGTGGTCATCGGGGCCCTCGGGGCAGTCACCCCCAAACTGGAGCAGTGGCTCAAACAGATCCCAGGAACAACATCAGACATCTCAGTCCAGAAATGTGCAGTTCTAGGCACAGCCAAGATACTGCGCAGAACCCTCAAGCTCCCAGGCCTCTGGTAGAGGACCCGAGCTCAGAGGATGAAAGAGACCACCCGCGGAGGGTGAGAGGGGAATTTTTATATATATGTATATTTTTTTTTTAATAGAAGCAAACCAATGAGAGCTTTTGGTAAAGCTACAATCTGCCATTTTTAGCCAATTCCAATTTCCCCTTAAAAATTATAATCAACAACATACTTTACCATGGATATTCTCAAAAGACTGCCAGCATTTCCAAACCCATTATGTTACATGGACGAGAATTAGGGTCACTGGAAAAAAAGTGACTTGAAGCTCAGAATTATGATTTCAGAAGTAGAATTGGGGCTGTCAAGAATCAATCCGAAAGTTTAACGCGTTAAAATTACATAGCACAGTTTAATCTTCCCACCTATTCTGACCTGGAACCCTCTCTCCCACGGAGGGTTATCTAGTTCAAAGCAGTGCGTCATGAGTTATGTTACACACTGACAAAATGTGAAAGTTTTCTTCTACAGTATCAAATGTTGAACATTTGTCAACTTTCTCGAGTCGCATCACCAGCCTGAATGTTCACATCTACAGGTACGAGCTTAAAATTTCACATGCATGAATTGCTCCGGTCGCTGGGCTGGATGAGGACAAGCGACTGTCGCCGCATTCATCCTTTAATCCTTGAAATATTCTTCAGGTGGTAAAAGGCCGACTTTGTAACTGTCTTTATGTGGCTATGAAGGTTCAGGTCAGAGTTCAGTATTACACCCAGATTTCAGGCCTGGCATCTAGTTTCCAGCTGTAATAAGTGAAGCTGTGCATTGACTCAAGATCGTTCTCTTTAGGTCCAACGATAATAACTTTAGTTTTGTTTCTGTTCAGCTGGAGAAAGTTTTTGCATATTCATGCATTGGTTTGTTTTAAACATCTGTTC